CTCAATGTCTATCTTAAATGGGATTACATTCCAATCTTAAGTACAATCAGAATGACCCGATGGTCAAGTGGCTAGTGCTAAATTTGGTACTAACCTCTCCAAGTTCGAATTCTGGTGAGGCATGGATGTTTGTTAGTGATTTAATATACCTTAAAATGTAGATCCTGGTTTAATTAGCATTGTGTAAAAAAAATGACTCGTAGAGTGACAAACAAAAATAAAGAACAAGCTGATACAATATTAAAACTTAGTTTTTTTTAAATATTTCATTATTACTAATACGTGTACATCTATTTTTTTTGTTTAAATTATATTAGTTCGACATATTAATTTTTGCAGTAAATATAAAATCCCTAAACTGTGAAAATAAAGAGCTTTTCTCAGTATTAAGACATTTTATAAATATTGTAATGTTAGAATAGGCATCTTTATCCCCATGATATACTTATCAATTCATTAAGTTGGAAACTGGGTGTGATGAATTCGCAACAAATACAAGATTCAAAATAAAGTTCAGAATATTATTAAAGCGATTTTTATACTGCTGGTGAAAGAAACAAAAACATAGAAAAAGGAGGTTATTATAATATTTGATAGTTTCTGCCTTTCTTGTTACGTAGTCATGTAACTGTGGCATCGTTTAATTTTTTACATAATCGGGAGTAATTATTTGTACCTAAACATTATAAAAATCAAAGAAAAAAAAATAATTACGTAATTATTAGCTCGGAAAATTTTTTAAATATATGTTCGAAAACTCGTGAAAGAAATTAAAAGTTCGTGAATGAAAGTGAACCAGGACATAGGTAACCTCCCAAAATTAGCGGTCTGTTGACCAATTGGCTAGCGCTCTGTACGCTGGTACCATAGGCTTCAGGTTCGTATCCTGGTAGTGGCATGAATGTTTGTGAGTGGTTCGAAATCAACGTTAGGTCCCGGTCTAATGAGCCTAAAGTGTGCGCAAAATGACCGTAGAGCGACAAACAAAACCCGAAAACAGTACCCATATATTTTATGGGATTAATTATATAATTATTATCTTGAGAAAGAAATTTAAAAATACGTATAAGAAAGCTCGTGAAAGAAATTAAAAAAAGTTCTTGAAAGAAAATGGACGAGGTCATAGATAATACCATATCCCCTGTCGGCCAATTGGAGAGCGCTCTGGTAGTTGGTAGCATAGGCTTCAGGTTATAAAGGTTCAGGTTTAGTTATTAGCTAGCGAAAGAAATTTAAATATATGCATTAGAAAGCCCGCGAAAGAAATTTAAAAATAGTTCGTGAAAGAAAGGGGACACTATCACCTCAAAACAATATCCTAATATTTTATGGGTAATAATCCAAATTGCGACAACTGAAAACGGTCGCTTAATTTTAGTTCGAAATCTTTTTTTATTTATTTTTTTTTCTCAAAAAAGAAAAAGTAAAAATTACCTCTCATCAGTTTTTCTCGAAAACAACTTCTCGAAAAGTGCTGGCGACATTTTCCCTTTCAGGAACGCTCATTCCGAAAACGAGGAGGAGAAAATAAACAAAAAAAGAAAAAGAAAAAAAAAAGAAAGGAACAAAATAACTGATGTGCAAAAAGAAAAAGAAAAGAACAAGAACTGAATGCCCTTTGCAACTTCAGTCGTTTTTTGGGCCTTTTTATTCCCCAGCATCGCCGAGGCACAATCATAATAGAAATATTCAACGCCATTGCTTCTTTTTCCCGCCAAAAGAATGGAAGTCCTTTGTTGTCCGGGACAGAGCGTATTCTATGCGCTTTGAACCTATTCTCGCCGCAGCGCGCAACAAAGCCGCCCACCTTTTAATACAAGCAACTGCCTAGCAGCGTTTTACTTTGAGCACAGTTTTTCTCATTGTAACCGCTGCCACCTCTTCTTCCACGCCGTTCCTTTTGCGCTCTTCTTATTATTATTATCATTATTATTACAATTCTTCCTTTTCTCTCTCTCGTTCTTTCATTTTATTTACTTTCTTTTATTTTATTTTCGTTTCTTTGGGGTTTGTCCTTATCTGTGCTTCCATTGTCGGTGGCTGTTTGATTTGAATGAAACCGTCGAAAATAGCGCTGAGCCAGGCCAGAATGCCCTTTTATGTAATAATAAGAGCGTTTTGCGGGCGCACAATTTTCTGGCTGTCCCTTTTGTGTGGCCTTGTTCGCCTTTGTTGCGCCTGCTATCTCTCATAAAGGCGTGATATTTGAATTCGCTCGCGATGCACTTTTGTGTGCTGTCGGACATGCAATATCATCCCCCACCAGGAACTAAGTGCCGAAAAGACCTATTTGGGTAACCTTTTAAATAGGTTGCGTTATTTAAGGCACAATTTACTGCTCTGTAGTAACTATTCTGTAGGCATTTTAAATAGGAATTCAAAATTATTCTAAACTATGTGTGAAAGATAATTTTCAATTCACCTAAACATTGATTGAATAGGAGCACAAGTTCAGAAAGTTGTCGTTCCTCAAAGCCATGTCCAGTTTCGAAACATCCTGCTAAATAGTTGTCTGCTCCCGTACATTGAACTTTGAACGCGAAAAACAAACTTCTATACATCCCATTGCTTAAAATCATCATCCTCATCATCATAATCATCATTGTAACAGCCCATGGTGGGCCAAGGGTGTCGAGAAAGGAGATGTCTTATTTTCACTGGGTAGAGTTGTCAGCAATACGCCCAACGCTTTACAGTGATATTACATCGAGGCTTGAATGGCCGAATGTCTGGCGCTCAGTGCCACAGGTTTCGGGTTCGAGTTCCAGCGGTGTCATGGAGGTTGCAGCGGTTCAGAATCCACTTTAAACCGTAGGTCCCAGTCTCATATGACTGTCAGAGCTCAGTCAGACTTCTTACCCACTTCATTCCCAAACTGAAAATGGGCAACACAGCTCTAGGCACAGTGATGTAACGTGGTGTAGGAGTAGTAGTAGTCATATTAGGCTATCATATTAGACATACGGTTGGGTTTCGGTACTTTGGGTTTGTTCTTATCTCTGCTTCCATTGTCGGTGGCTGTTTGATCTGAATGAAACCGTCGAAAATAGCACCCAGCCAGGCCAGAATGCCCTTTTCATGCAATAATAAGAGCGTTTTGCGGGCGGTACAATTTTCTGGCTGTCCCTTTTGTGTGGCCTTGTTCGCCTTATTTGCGCCTGCTATCTCTCATAAAGGCGTGATATTTGAATTCGCTCGTCACGCACTTTGGTGTGCCGTCGGACATGCCATATCATCCCCCACCAGGAACTAAGTGCCCAACAGACCTATTTGGGTAACCTTTTAAATAGGTTGCGTTATTTAAGGCACAATTTACTGCTCTAAAGCGTTAAATACGCCTTCAAAATGATTCTAAAGTACGTTTCACATATATTTTTCAATGTCTAGGGGAACACAACTTCAGTGGGTCGTCATCGTTCCTTAATGCTGCGTTCAATTTCGAAACATTATGCTAAATGGCTGTCTGTTCCCTGGCATTGAGCTTTCAAAGCAAAAAACAAAGCCCTTTATCACCCATTGTATTGTTGTTACTAATCTCCCTGTTGCAGGAAAGTCGACACCAAGCCCAGAAGAACCCACTATGCTATGACTAAGGGTAATATGCAGCTTCCTTTTAGCGAGGAGCCACGAGGGCTGAAAATTGACTAAACCTCAAGACAACGTTCTGCGATCTTATTAGACCGGGAACCTACGGTTTAAAGTGGATTCCGAACCACTACAAACATCCATGGCACCATTCACATTCACATTCGAAATACACTGAAGTGACAAAAGTCATGGGATAGCAATATGCAAATTTTCAGATGGCAGTAGCATCGCGTAGAACAGGTATAAATGCGCAGTGCTTTCGCAGAGCTTTCATTTCTGTTCAAGTTATTCACGTGAAGAGGTTTTGTCGTGATGATGACCGCACGACGGGAATTAACAGACATTGAACGCGGAATGTTAGTTGGAGCTAGACGCATGGTTCATGCCTTTTCGGAAATCGTTAGGGAATTCAACATTCCCAGATCCACTGTGTCAAGAGTGTGCCGAGAGTATGAAATTACAGGCATAACATCCCACCATGGACAGCGCAGTGGTCGACCGCCTGCACTTAACGACCGAGACCGGCGACGTCTGCAAAGAGACGTAAATTCTAACAGACAAGCAACACTGCGTCAAATAACCGCAGAAATCAATGTGGGACGTACAAGGGACTTGTCTGTTAGAACTGTGCGGAGAAATTTGGCTTTCTTGGGCTATTCCAGCAGAAGACCGACTCGAGTGCCTTTACTGACAGAACGACATCGCTTGCAGCGACTCTCGTGGGCACGTGAGCATATCGGTTGGTCCCTAGATGAATGGAAAACCGTGGCCTGGTCCGATGAGTCACAATTTCAGTTGGTAAGAGCTGATGGTAGGGTTCGAGTGTGGCGCAGACCCCACGAAGCCATGGACCCAAACTGTCAGCAAGGCACTGTTCAAGCTGGTGGTGGCTCCGTAATTGTGTGGGCTGTTTTTTCATGGCATGGACTTGGTCCTCTGGTGCGACTGGACCGAACATTGACTGGAAATGCTTATGTTCAGCTACTTGGAGATCACTTTCAGCCATTCATGGACTTCATGTACCCAAACAACGATGGGATTTTTATGGATGACAATGCGCCATGTCACCGGGCCACAACTGTTCGCGATTGGTTTGAAGAACATTCTGGACAATTCCAACGAATGATCTGGCCACCTAGATAGCCCGACATGAATCCCATCGAGCATTTATGGGACATCATCGAGAGGTCTGTTCGTGCCCAAAATCCTGTACCATCAACGCTTTCACAATTATGGACGTCTATCGAGACAGCATGGCTCAATATTCCTGCAGAAGACTTCCAACGACTTGTTGAGTCTATGCCACGTCAAGTTGCTGCACTTCGCCGGGCGAAAGGAGGGCCGACACGATATTAAGAGGTATCCCATGACTTTTGTCACTTCAGTGTATTCTATTAATGGTTGTCTGAGCCAACGGCCGTACCATGCTGAATATACCGGTTCTCGTTAGATCACCGAAGTCAAGCATCATTGGGCGCGGTCAGTACTTGGGTGGGTGACCACCTGGGAACACCGCGTTCCGTTGGCAAATTTGGGACCTGAATGGCCGAGTGTCTAGCGCTCTGGCGCTCGGTGCCACAGGTTTCGGGTTCGAATCCCGGCGGTGCCATGGATGTTTGTAGTGGTTCGGAATCCACTTTAAGCCGTAGGTCCCGGTCTCCTATGACTGTAAGAGCGTCACAGAGCAAAGTCAGGCTTCTACCTACGGGTGCTCCATCACAACAGATGCTGCTTCCTTCCCCTTCAACCATGAGTACGTATAGGCTCGTGGGCTTGGCCAGCCAAGTGGGATAAGAAACAACAACAAACAAACATGGTTGTCTGTCAGCGGGCTTTGAACTTTGTAAGCGAAGAACAAATCGCTATATCTACCATTTCGAAAAATTGGCGTTCAAAATAATTTAAAATATTTGTGGAACATATTTTCCAATGTCTAGGTGACGTTTATGTAATTGGAACACAATTACATTGAGTCGACGTCATTCCTTAAACATGAAAAAGAGTTTTGAACATGAAAAAGAAAAAAAGAAAACACTATATCTCCACATGCGCTCTGGCCTTTGGTATCACGGGCTTCAGGTTCGAAGCCTGGCGGGTATAGATGTTTTTTAGTGGTTCGGAATCCACGTTCGACTGTAGATCCCGTTCTAATTAGCCTAAAGTGTGCATAAAATGACCGCAGAACGACAAACCAAATTAAACCATTAATTAAAATTGGTATTCACAATAATTCTAAAGTATATGTGAAAGCTATTTTCTAATGTCTAGGGACGTTTATGTAATAAGAACACAACTTCAGTGGGTCGTAGTCGTTCCTTAAAGCCGCGTCCAGTTTCGAAACATTTTACTGAAATAGTTGTTCGTTACCGGACATTGAACTTTCAATGCAGAAAACAAACCCTTTTATCTCCATTATGTTGTCACTAATCCCCCTGGTTCAAGAAAGTCTACACCAGGTGCAGAAAACCCCACTGGGCTATAACTAAGGATAATATGCAGCTTCACTTTAGCGAGGGACCACGAGGGCTGATAGCTGACTAAACCTCAAGGAAACTCTCTACGATCTTATTAGGCAGGGTCCTACTGTTTAAAGTGGATTCCGAACCACTAGAAACATCCATGGCACCGCCAGGACTCAAATCCGGAACCTGTGGCATCGAGCGCCGTAGCGTTAGTCACTCGGACGTCAGGCTGCATTACGCAAAATAGGCATTGAAAATAATTCTAAACTTTGTATGAAATATATTTTTCGATTCACCTAGACATTGATGTATTAGGAACACAACTTCAGTGGGTCGACGACGTTTCCTAAAGCCGAGTCCAGTTTTGAAATATACTGTTAAATGCTTGTTTTTTTCCGGGAGTTTGACTTTGAATGCGAAAAAAAATCCCTATATCTCCAAATTATCTAAAATAGACAATCAAAGTAATTCTAAATTATGTGAAAAATATTTTCCAATGTCTTGGTGAAATTTGCATAACAGTAACACAACTTCGCGTCCAATTTCGAAACAATCGGCTAAATGGTTTCTGTTCCCAGGTGTTGAACTTTGAACTCGAAAAACACACCAATGACTACCATTACGAGATAATCCCAAGTTTTTTTCTGGTGGTAGTAATTTCTTTGATGCATAACTACAAAAAACCGTTCTTGTCGGAGCAGAAATTTTGTTTCCCTGAAAACGTTTTATCACGTGGTACGTTTCTCATTTAAAACAGGAACAAACCATATTGGGGAGTGTTAATGAACGGCATTCGCAACTCTTACATTCAAATGTATACGCAATTGGGTGTGACTAATCCTCAGTGTCCATCAGCGCGTGTCGGACACCCCATGAGTAGCCTACTCATAGATAGATGGAAAGGGGGCTGTGATGGAACCCATAGGTAGACGTTTGACTTGGCTCCTAGACGCAGAGGGAGAAGGCCTTCCGGGATGACTTCTAGGAGGAGCTGCCCTTCATTTGTTTATCGTATGGGAGAAAAACCCGGAAAAGTTGCATTAGGTACTTTGATTCATGAGACAAGATGCTGAACATCCCGAGCGCCATCGAGTCTCCTCGCTTTTTGAAACAGTGTCTGCAACAAAGCCGCCAGCTGATTGAACATCCGCCCTAATGCTCACCAGCGGCGAACGTTCCCACTGAGCCACGAGGCGATTTGACGATTTGAAACATCTTGCAAAACGTTCGTCTGCCCTTTTCGTCGACACCCTGAAAACGAAAAATAAGACCTGTAATTTTCCTCCGTGAGAATGTGATTCCTCCCCCGACTTTCGGTAAGTAGTGAATGCTTTAATGCTTGGCTAAAACTACAAGCAGAAGAGGGAATTTTGTTTCCTAATAAATTTTCAAACATTTTCGTATGCATTACATTTTCCGTTCAGGGGCCTGAATGGCCGAGTGGCTAGCGTTCTGGCGCTCGGTGCCACAGGTTTCGGGTTCGTGTCCCGGCGGTGCCATGGATGTTTGTGGTGCTTCGGAATCCACTTTAAATTGTAGGTCCCGGTCCTATTAGGATCGTAGAGCGTTGCGGGGGCATTGTTACTTCGCGTCCGTGGCTTATCTTCAAGCTACACACAGCTCCTGTGTAGTGCTAAGTGAGTAACAGCATTTATTTATGTGTCTATGAATATGCAATAAATAATTAATTATTTGAGTTCTGAAACATAAACGTTGCAATTATTATGATATTAAGGCTTGAATGGCCGAGAGGCTAGCGCTCTGGCACTCGGTACCACAGGTTTCAGTACTACTGAGTACTCAGTACCTCAATACCACAGGTTTTGGCTTCGAGTCCTGGCGGTGCCACGGACGTGTGTAGTGGTTCGGAATCCACTTTAAATCGTCCCGGACCTAATAGGATCGTAGAGCGCTGCGGGGGCATTGTTACTCCGCGTCCGTGGCTTATCTTCAAGCTACACTCACCTCCTGGGTAATATTAAGGGAGTAACGTCGGTGCAGCGCTTGCCTTAAGGCATTCATGACAACTGTCTAAGTGTTTTCCAGCTGCATTAGGAAAAAGAAAAAACATTTTCCGTTCAAACAGAAACAAATCAATTTAGAGAGCTTACGCGTACGGCTCTCTCAACACTTGCAACTATAAACGCAGCAGAAAACAGAAGCGTAATGCTTCAAGTTGCGTCCAGAGGTGATTACGAGAGCAGCGTGTAGAGACGAGAATATTCAGACATGAGTAGGAGAGTCTCCATACGTAAGTAAGAGAGATCTCGCACTGATGGTCTGACCTGGAGGAACAAGCCTATATTCTATATATAATATATGTGGCTGCCAACGGCCATATCATGCTGAATATAACGGTTCTCGTTAGATCACCGAAGTTAAGCATCATTGGGCGCGATCAGTACTTGGGTGGGTGACTACCTGGGAACACCGCGTGCCGTTGGCATTCACAAATTTGGGACCTGAATGGCCAAGTGTCTAGCGCCCTGGCGCTCGGCGCCACAGGTTTTGGGTTCGAATCCCGACGGTGCTATGGATGTTTGTAGTGGTTCGGAATCCACTTTAAGCCGTAGGTCCCGGTCTCCTAAGAGCGTCACGGAGCCAAAGACAGACTTCTATCTACGGGGGTTTTTGAAAGAGAAAGCAATAAAGTCTTCTTGTTCGTAATTCATTGTGTATTACATTTTAAACAAAGAGTGGGGCTTATACTGGACAATTAATGCCATTTTTGATGTTTACTTGAAGATAAAAATTATTTACAATTTTGTTATTTACAATGATGTTTAAATATTGTGCTCATAAAATATATTTAACTTATACTTACTATTTATTTTGTTAATTTTTCATCGATTTAGGGTGGTATAATTTTTATTTTGTACAAATTTTACTGTGAAGGTCCTGTGAATTTTACTCTTTACCCCTTTAGTGGTGTACACAATAAGATAATAATTATTAAACGAGAGAATAATTATTTATAATTTTGTTACTTACAATGATTAAATATTATATTCATGAATTTTTTTTTTTTTTTTTTTTTTTTTTTTTTTTTTTACTTACACTTATACATTTTTTATTGATTTAGAGTTTATATAATTTTTATTTTTGTAAATTCTACTTTTTACTCTTAATTATTGGGCCTGAATGGCCGAGTGGCTAGCGCTCTTTTTCTCGATGCCATGGTTAATTGTAGTGGTTCTGAATCCACTTTAAGCCGTAGATCCTGGTCTTATATGATCGTAGAGGCGTTGTTACTCCGCGTCCGTGGCTTATTTTCAAGTTACACGCGCCCCTGGGTAATGCGAAGTGAGTAACATCTGTGCAGCGTTTGCCTTAAAGCCTCCAAGACTATGTGTTTGTCAGCTGCATTAGAAAAAAAGAAACTCTGAATTACCCCTTACGACATTTTTGATGTACATTTGAAGATAATTATTGAACAATTTCGAATAGATATATTATTTGTAATTTTGATTTTTACAATGACTAAATATTGTGATCATGAAACAGGTTTTAACTTACACTTATATTTTTTTTATTATTTTTTTATTGATTTAGAGTCAAATTATTTTAATTTTGTGTGAATGTTACTCTGAAGGAAATGTCTAGTCTTCAAAAGACCCACCATTTCAAAACTTCTGATCGTAAACATTTTTTTTAATTAATGGTCAGGAATGGTTTGATGAATATCATGTTGGGTTTCCTGAATTCATTTTTATTATTATTATTATTGAAACTCTGTAAGAGGACAGAAGCACACAACAGAAGCTGCCCCCTCCTTTTTCCCCCTTTCACAACTTCCTTTCCTCTCTTCCCTTTCACTGGAACTTTGTCTAGATGTTGCTGTCGACCGAGTAGGATAACGAAAAATAATAGAGAGTTTTTGCATACCGTAGTACGTCCGTTAGCTTTTTCTCCCTAGCGCGCACGCTCATAGGAAACAGCGCATGCGTATTTGTAATAATGTTTCCTATGAGCATGCGCGCTAGGGAGAAAAAGCTAACGGACGTACTACGGTAACTATCGTACGGTATGCAAAAATTCTCTAATATTTGGTCCCAGG